TCCATATCTAGTGATATAGCAAATACTAAAAGCATCTATAGAAATTCATTGCAAATGATTTTTACTATAGGAATGCATTAGAAATGATTTGAATACTAGCTCTTTATGGAACCTGAATATTATGGCTAGGATTTATGAAACAAATCCATCCAAACTTTCATTCCTTCTAATGATTCCATATCTAGTGATATAGCAAATACTAAAAGCATCTATAGAAATTCATTGCAAATGATTTTACTATAGGAATGCATTAAAATGATTTGAATACTAGCTCTTTATGGAACCTGGAATATTATGGCTAGGATTTATGAAACAAATCCATCCAAACTTTCATTCCTCTAATGATTCCATATCTAGTGATATAGCAAATACTAAAAGCATCTATAGAAATTCATTGCAAATGATTTTTACTATAGGAATGCATTAGAAATGATTTGAATACTAGCTCTTTATGGAACCTGAATATTATGGCTAGGATTTATGAAACAAATCCATCCAAACTTTCATTCCTTCTAATGATTCCATATCTAGTGATATAGCAAATACTAAAAGCATCTATAGAAATTCATTGCAAATGATTTTACTATAAGAATGCATTAGAAATGATTTGAATACTAGCTCTTTATGGAACCTGGAATATTATGGCTAGGATTTATGAAACAAATCCATCCAAACTTTTATTCCATCTAATGATTCCATATCTAGTGATATAGCAAATACTAAAAGCATCTATAGAAATTCATTGTAAATGATTTGACTATAGGAATGCATTAGAAATGATTTGAATACTAGCTCTTTATGGAACCTGGAATATTATGGCTAGGATTTATGAAACAAATCCATCCAAACTTTTATTCCCTCTAATGATTCCATATCTAGTGATATAGCAAATACTAAAAAGCATCTATAGAAATTCATTGCAAATGATTTTACTATAGGAATGCATTAGAAATGATTTGAATACTAGCTCTTTATGGAACCTGGAATATTATGGCTAGGATTTATGAAACAAATCCATCCAAACTTTTATTCCCTCTAATGATTCCATATCTAGTGATATAGCAAATACTAAAAGCATCTATAGAAATTCATTGCAAATGATTTTACTATAGGAATGCATTAGAAATGATTTGAATACTAGCTCTTTATGGAACCTGGAATATTATGGCTAGGATTTATGAAACAAATCCATCCAAACTTTTTATTCCCTCTAATGATTCCATATCTAGTGATATAGCAAATACTAAAAGCATCTATAGAAATTCATTGCAAATGATTTTACTATAGGAATGCATTAGAAATGATTTGAATACTAGCTCTTTATGGAACCTGGAATATTATGGCTAGGATTTATGAAACAAATCCATCCAAACTTTCATTCCATCTAATGATTCCATATCTAGTGATATAGCAAAAGCATAAGAAATTTGAAACCATATATTCCATCAAATATTGCTATAGAAATTCATTGCAAATAATAGGATGCATTAGAAATTTTGATTGCAAATGATTTTACTATCTAGGAATGCAAATTAGAAATGATTTGAATACTATAGGAATGCATTAGAAATGCTCTTTATGGAACCTGGAATATTATGGCTAGGATTTATGAAACAAATTCAAACTTTCATTCCTCTAATGAAATCTAAATCCATCTATAGAAATTCAAAATGATTTTTACTATTTATTCCTCTTTAAACCTGAATTCCATAAACTTTCATTCCTTCTAATGATTCCATATCTAGTGATATAGCAAATACTAAAAGCATCTATAGAAATTCATTGCAAATGATTTTACTATAGGAATGCATTAGAAATGATTTGAATACTAGCTCTTTATGGAACCTGGAATATTATGGCTAGGATTTATGAAACAAATCCATCCAAACTTTCATTCCCTCTAATGATTCCATATCTAGTGATATAGCAAATACTAAAAGCATCTATAGAAATTCATTGCAAATGATTTTACTATAGGAATGCATTAGAAATGATTTGAATACTAGCTCTTTATGGAACCTGAATATTATGGCTAGGATTTATGAAACAAATCCATCCAAACTTTTATTCCTCTAATGATTCCATATCTAGTGATATAGCAAATACTAAAAATGCATCTATAGAAATTCATTGCAAATGATTTTACTATAGGAATGCATTAGAAATGATTTGAATACTAGCTCTTTATGGAACCTGAATATTATGGCTAGGATTTATGAAACAAATCCATCCAAACTTTTATTCCCTCTAATGATTCCATATCTAGTGATATAGCAAATACTAAAAGCATCTATAGAAATTCATTGCAAATGATTTTACTATAGGAATGCATTAGAAATGATTTGAATACTAGCTCTTTATGGAACCTGGAATATTATGGCTAGGATTTATGAAACAAATCCATCCAAACTTTTATTCCTCTAATGATTCCATATCTAGTGATATAGCAAATACTAAAAGCATCTATAGAAATTCATTGCAAATGATTTTACTATAGGAATGCATTAGAAATGATTTGAATACTAGCTCTTTATGGAACCTGGAATATTATGGCTAGGATTTATGAAACAAATCCATCCAAACTTTTATTCCCTCTAATGATTTTATATCTAGTGATATAGCAAATACTAAAAGCATCTATAGAAATTCATTGCAAATGATTTTACTATAGGAATGCATTAGAAATGATTTGAATACTAGCTCTTTATGGGACCTGGAATATTATGGCTACGATTTATTAAACAAATCCATCCAAACTTTTATTCCCTCTAATAATTTCATACCTAGTGATATAGCAAATACTAAAAGCATCTATAGAAATTCATTGCAAATGATTTTACTATAGGAATGCATTAGAAATGATTTGAATACTAGCTCTTTATGGAACCTGGGGTGTTATGGCTAGGATTTATTAAACTAAGCCCGGTACACATTGCACAATGTTAGAGACCATAATGTTTTCATACATTAATAACTTTAGTTAATTTGCAGTATAAGCATCAAAAGCCCACGGTAATGAAAATGTTCCATTATGGTGTGAAAGTGCCCGATTATTTCGAAAATTGCATTAAAAGTTTGCGCACTATTACCGTTTAGGAGTTATGAACAATGTAAGTCCGACTTCTGCGTCGCATCGACAGAATGGCTGCCATTGCTGACTTTGTTTACATACGTTTGCCTCGAGTAGTTATGCGCGGAAGCTTCACTCGTCTTGATTACTGCGCAATGAACGAAGTTTAAAATGAATGCGCGATTCCAATTATAGCAGTAAAAAATGACAAAACGAAAAATAAAATCAAAATTACATTTTAAAATAACTTTCGCGAAAACTGCGCAGTAATCAAAGCGTGTAAGATGATACGAAAAGCATTAAAAAGGCCGTTAACTAAGTAAGCTTCCGCGCATTACTACTCGGGGTAAACCTATGTAAACAACGCCAGTAATGGCGGTCGGAGAACGTGAAAGAGATCGAACTTACATCGAGCGCAAACTTTTCTTCCATAATGGAACATTTTAATTACCGTCGACTTATACTGCAAATTAACCATAATTTTTTTTTCTCTTTTGCCATGTGGTTGAAGTAGCTGCGGAATTTTTCTAGAGTGGCTCAGACACGAAGTCTCCAATCTTAGAACTGCGACAAACATCGTGACATCAGAAATACGTGGGTGTAGGGTTAAGGTTAGAAATACGTGGGTGTGTAGGGTTAGGGTTAAGGTTAGAAATACGTGGGTGTAGGGTTAGGGTTAAAAATACGTGGGTGTAGGGTTAGGGTTAAAAATACGTGGGTGTAGGGTTAGGGTTAGAAATACGTGGGTGTGTAGAGTTAGGGTTAGAAATACGTGGGTGTAGGGTTAGGGTTAGAAATACGTGGATGTAGGGTTGGGGTTAGAAATACGTGGGTGTAGGGTTAAGGTTAAAATACGTGGGTGTGTAGGTTAGGGGTTAAGGTTAGAAATACGTGGGTGTGTAGGTTAGGGTTAAAAATACGTGGGTGTAGGGGTTAGGGTTAGAAATACGTGGGTGTGTAGGGTTAGGGTTAGAAATACGTGGGTGTAGGGTTAGGGTTAGAAATACGTGGATGTAGGGTTAGGGTTAAAAATACGTGGGTGTAGGGTTAAGGTTAGAAATACGTGGGTGTGTAGGGTTAGGGTTAAGGTTAGAAATACGTGGGTGTAGGGTTAGGGTTAAAAATACGTGGGTGTAGGGTTAGGGTTAGAAATACGTGGGTGTGTAGGGTTAGGGTTAGAAATACGTGGGTGTGTAGGGTTAGGGTTAGAAATACGTGGATGTAGGGTTAGGGTTAAAAATACGTGGGTGTAGGGTTAGGGTTAGAAATACGTGGGTGCAGGGTTAGGGTTAGAAATACGTGGGTGTAGGGTTAGGGTTAGAAATACGTGGGTGCAGGGTTAGGTTTAGAAATACGTGGGTGCCGGGTTAAGGTTAGAAATACGTGGGTGTAGGGTTAGGGTTAGAAATACGTGGGTGTAGGGTTAGGGTTAGAAATACGTGGGTGCAGGGTTAGGGTTAGAAATACGTGGGTGTAGGGTTAGGGTTAGAAATACGTGGGTGTCGGCAACTACCATAACTGCTCACATGAAGTGTAAACGGAAGCAACCACAAAACACGAACAGGCATTTGAATATTCATCGAATTGGATAAAATAAAACACACATATATACATTTTGTTTTTATTTTCATTGATCAATGAGTGTATTCCATTTTTATTGATCAACAACTCTATAGCTGAATGAGAAAATTATTTATATGGCATATATGATTTTCAATATAATTTCCTTCTTTGTCAATGCACCTGATTCAGTGGTGAATATTTATATACATTTTAAGTTTGTCTCTACAGTTTAATGAGAAAAAACGCATTTCTGGTACACAACAAATATTTCAATTTTAACCTATTCCCCTTGGCCTTACCTATTGCTGTAATTAATTTGGTAATGAATATAGATACATCAAATCTATATATCTATCCATCTATTTATCTACCTATATATCTTGAAAGATAGAAGTATTAAAGGAATGAGATAGATAGATAGATAGATAGATAGATAGATAGATAGATAGATAGTGAACAGACTGAGATAGATAGATAGATAGATAGATAGATAGATAGATAGATAGATAGATAGATTAAAGGAATGAGAAAGAAAGATAGAAATATTAAAGGAATGAGATAGATAGATAGATAGATAGATAGATAGATAGTGAACAGACTGAGATAGATAGATAGATAGATAGATAGATAGATAGATAGATAGATAGATAGATAGATAGATTAAAGGAATGAGAAAGAAAGATAGAAATATTAAAGGAATGAGATAGATAGATAGATAGATAGATAGATAGATAGATAGATAGTGAACAGACTGAGATAGATAGATAGATAGATAGATAGATAGATAGATAGATAGATTAATAGAATAAAGGAAAGAGAAAGATAGAAATATTAAAGAAATAAGAGATAGATAGATAGATAGATAGATAGATAGATAGATAGATAGATTAAAGGAATGAGAAAGAAAGATAGAAATATTAAAGGAATGAGAGATAGATAGATAGATAGATAGATAGATAGATAGATAGATAGATAGATTAAAGGAAAGAGAAAGAAAGATAGAAATATTAAAGGAATGAGATAGATAGATAGATAGATAGATAGATAGATAGATAGATAGATAGATAGATTAAAGGAATGAGAAAGAAAGATAGAAATATTAAAGGAATGAGATAGATAGATAGATAGATAGATAGATAGATAGATATCACTTGCATGCAAGAACCTTTTTATTGATTCATAACATCCTAAACCGAAGCCGTTGGCAAATGAATTTCTGTGTTTAAATAAACAAGTCCTCGCGATTCCCAGTCATTGACAATATCCAACATCCCTTACATCTCGACATTCAGTACTTGTTATTTTAAATATCTTCCTGTATTTTTCATTGGCGCGTCATTACACTTGGGTCAAACTTATTTTTTATTATCTTATTATTTTTAACCCAATATCAAAATGCTGTCTTCTTTGACAACCTCGATAATTCGGGCGGCCTTAGAAAATCATTTTCTCTGTGACAAGTATTCTTTTATTGTGCTTGCGAAAAACAACTTATTCTTTTAAAACCTGTTCGACTTGTGGTTTTTGAGTGAACAATCGTTTTAATTCAAAAGCACGCTTTCCGCTCTCTTGCGTTTCATAATTTAAAATAGTGCAAAGGAATTATTATCATCATGAGAGCTGTTTCGACTTGAACGCAGGCTACAAATCAGTTGTGATTTCTCATCTTCAGCAACTTTCTAAATAACTCTTCTTATCTGTTTTCTCCAAACCTCCCTGTTCTTTGCCAACTGACGAAACTTCTACAAGTCTTCCAAGCTCTTCAAAGGTTATAGTTTTACGGCAAATGATAGAATTTTATTAAAAGTTCTTTTAATGCCGTTGTTCATTAGCTAAGTAACAAATTTTATATTTGTATTCATTTGTAGCAAAGATCCGAATGTAAATTGAATTTTTTTTTTTTTAAAAAAGCAAAGCTTTACACCAATCATAGTAATATCTGCAACCTTTGTCAACAAGAAAAGTTAGCTATAATAATATTTCCAAACTAAAAAATCATTTGAATGAGAGATCGGAAATTATGACACGTTGCATACACACTAAAAAGTTCCTTTTTTATATTGTATAAACTAGGATGATAAGAAAGTATGTACATTTCATTTAACCCCAATCCAATGCTTTTCTCCTTCTCCTCCTCATCCTCCTCATCCTCCACTTCCATCACATTTCACGTCATGTGTTCATTTATTTATTTACTGTTAAATAATAAGTGATCATTAATTAAAAAAAAATAAAGCATTTGGAAATCAATTGACCAAAATCGCCTGAAGATATCGAAAGGTTGAAACCGATGTAGCGTAAACGGTTGATTTCCTAATTTTCTATACTTAAAAGCTCTACATGTTAAATTGTTTATCTTTTTATACGTGTATTGCTCACTTTTTTAATACTACTGTTTCTTGGTCTAACTCAACTGTAACTATTAACTTTATATATATATATATATATATATATATATATATATATATATATGTGTGTGTGTGTGTGTGTGTGTGTGTGTGTGTGTGTGTGTGTGTGTGTGTGTGTGTGTGTTCTCGAAATATATTTATGCTCTCGAAATAGCTGGAGTGAGCTCTCGGAGAGGAAGGGGTGATTTTTATAAACAGTGGCTGCTGCTGCTAATGCAATGCTCTTCAACTAGAATCGAGCTCTCCTAGCCACTGACGTCTTTCGTATAGTAAAATCGTTAAAAGTTCCCTTTCTCTCTGCCGTGCGGCGATAGCTTGGGAGTAGAATCACTGACTGATGCCAAATCGGTCGGGTTTCGATCCCGGCTTGAAACAATCGGATGTCTAACCACACTGATGAGCTGTGATACAGCGAAATAGTCTGTCTGTGGATGAATATATATATATATATATTAATGTATGTATAGTAATGTATTAATCATATATATGTAAGGTGCGATGGGTAAATAGTCGCGTTGTTTGTTTTTGATTCTGTCGACTGCACAGTATAGTAGGGTCAGTTGGGCACCATTTGGGAGAAGAAGACCACCATGACGCAATTCACTACGCCAGAAATTTGGAAATGGTATGCTGTACCGCTTGGCAATCGCGCCGGAAGCTCCAATACGAACATTTCAGAGTGTTTGAGTGTCAGTCTGAAGGCAGTGCAGAGGATTTGAAAAGAGCTGGATGAGGCTAATGGTGTTTACAAGAGCATGGCAGTTCGAAAACTCTCTCTGATTGTTTTGATAAGGAAAAAACTCCAGAATTTGTTGGTGGGGGCCTCAGACTCAACACAAGCAGGAGAATGCAGTCATAGCTGTCAGACAATTTCTGCAACCACATCACCCCTTACATCTTGGCCACCTAACTCCCCAGACTGAACCCCCCCCCCCATTATTATGTGTGGGGCGCAGTTGAGCAAGAGACCTACAAAACTCCTCGTAACACCAAAGATGCTCTGAAGGAAAGGATTATGGCAGCTTTCACCAACTTAAAAAAATGTATTCAAAACTATTAGTAAAAACCTAGATATTTTAAACTATCTACTGTAACCATTTTAAAACATTTGTGCAGTACTCATAACTAATTTTATTACGAGTTGGTTTCAATTTTTTATATAGATAGCTTCAGAATCTTTTAGTTTATGCTTAGGTTTTAACTAATACGTTGAATAGTTTTTTTTTGTTTTTTCAAAAATATTTAGACACTGCAATAACTTAGTTACCTCCATTGACGTTTACACGTGTGCCTAAATGATAAAATAATGAACACAACAATTTCTTGTCCTAGAAATAACAAGACCCTGATGATGACATTGTGCTAATGTCGAAAGTACTCGGAATGAAATGAATACGCGTCAACATGATAATTTTCTTTCTTTCTTTAATAAGGATCAACATGATAATTTGTTCTTTCATTTATATGCAATATCTGTGTGTGTGTGTGTGTGTGTGTGTGTGTGCATTAGCTTTTCTAATTAAATAATGTCATAGTTTTATTGCATTTTTTATTTTACGATTCAGAGCGGATTTTCGGTAAATGGTGTTTCTGTTTGATAAATGCAAATTGATGATTTAAATTCTCCAAGGACTCCTGCTTTTAACTAATGTGAAAATTCTAGAATTTTAATTTCTCGAAATTTCTTAAAATTAAGTAAGTGGGGGTAGCATATGTGACAGAAAATATATATTTTCACCAAGATTTTATAAAAATGAAAATTTCAAAAGTAATTTAATTCCTTTGTGAACAAGTCCTAAAAATTTAATTGAAATCTGACAATTATTTGATTTTTGGATACAATTTCCGAAACAATGTGTTGTTTACCGAAAAAAAAAAAGCTAAATTTCCTAATAGTAATCTTTGACCCACCAGCTAAAAAAACGCAAGACAAAAAGATTTTTAACCAAAATTTCGAATGTGCTAGAAATGATTTTAAAAATTAATAAAATAATCGAAAGATATTTTGATCTTTTCTCTTAATTATAAACATTTTTGACGATAAAACTCTCTCTCTCTCTCTCTCACTCACACACACACACACGCACACGCACACACACACACACACACACACATACGTACCTACATAGAAATCGCTAAAAACTCAACCGAAAATATGCCCGAAAATGTAAAACAGTTTTATCGTCAAAATCGCTCTGTAATTATTAAGAGAAAAGATCAAAGTATTTTTTTTTATATTTAGTTACATTTTTTACTCGTTTACGAAATTTTTATTAAAAAAAACTTGTTTGTCTTGTCAGCGGGTGTACTAACTTTGAGTATAGTAAATTTTCGCCACTTTTTATGTGGTGACATGCACTTTAATTTGGAAAATCTTGCAAGAGTCAAATAATTGTTGGATTTTATTGAAATATTCAGGACTTATTTACAAATGAATGAAATTATTTTAGAAATGTCTCCTATTAAGAAAATCTTGGCAAAAATATTTTTTAACATGTTTCAATTTCTTACATAATTTTATGAAAACTTTACATTCAACTTGATAATTTTTAGTGACTATTAGTTAAAATCAAAATTCATTTGAGAATTTAAATCACCTATTTGTTATTTTTTTTTGTTAATTTTTTTTGGGGGGTGGTTGCAAAATCAGACCCCGTCTTATCGAAAATTTGCTCTGAATCGAAAAGTAAAAAACGCAATAAAACATTATTAAATTAAAGAAAGTTTTAAATTGCTTTTATGAAAAATAAAGGACAATATTGTCTTAAGGAAAACATTTTCGGTGAAAAATGAATTTTTACAAGATGAGTTTTCATTTTTTTTTTAATTTTAATTATATATATTATGAAATAGACTAAGTCCGACAATTATTTAAATTTAATATTTTTAATTTTCTGTATCGTGTGTGTGTGTGTGTGTGTGTTTAAATATAATTTTTTTTTTTGTTTATACGTCATTTTTATAGAAACAAATGCTCTGTTTATAATAAACAGTAGTAACAACATTTACCAGCCTGACGGTTCATGTAGGATACAGGTTCGATTCCTTGTCGGAGGACACATATTTTCTATTAAATTTCTCGGACATTCAGGCCGGTAAATGTAGTTAATATTAATTTTTGAAATTTTTATTTTTATAAAATCCTGTGAGAATCGAACTCACAGATCTCTTGCTACTTGTTACTTTTTCCATTACCGAGCGCCTATATATATGCTAATCTGTTTTTTATGGCCACTTTCCATATCGCAAGCTGACCAGTTAACAATTGAATCTACAAGCGTCAGTTGTCCTGGCAACTCGTGACCTCGCTAAGCGCTCTTTTTACTCGCATTTCAATCAAACCAAACATTTTACTTACAATACAATAACACATTACCATGTTTTTAAATTATAACTGCCGATCAAATCGGCCTCTCCATAAATTGTTGTGTCAAATCACGATCCCGATCGTTTTTTTTTTTTTTTTTCAGCTTTAAATAAGAACACTGATAAAAAGTGACAACTCGTGTCAGTGCAGATTAATACAAACAACTGTGATATAGCCGGTGTCCCAGGCTGATAGACGGTCAGGTTCGTCCAGTCACCCACATTATTTATTTATTTTCCTTCAGTTCCAATCCAAGTTATGTTCCCTGATTTTTATAGCCTCGGTAAATTCAGAGTGAAAAAATTTGATGGCCACAATGACGAAGTAAGTCAATTTTCTTTAAAAAAAAAATGTTTATGGATTTTTCCCGTAAATGTTTTTTTTTTCTAAACTTTCTTTCTTTCTTTCTTTCTTTCTTTCTTTCTTTTTCTTTCTTTCTTTTCCAACTTTTCCTTCGTCCTTTCTTTCACATTTTCCTTCTTTTTTTTTTTCACCA